TAAATACTGTTTTTTTATTATAAATATTTTATTCTTTTTAATTATTCAATTTATATTATTGTTATCAATCGATTGGTACAATTAAACCAAAAACATTCACTTAACTTATATTTTAAAATGAATAATTTTAATGCTTAAGTACTAATCATAAAAAAAAAAAAAAAAAAAAAAATACTTTGAAATATTAATTGTTCCAATAAATTAAAATAAAAAATTTAGATAAAAGAATTATACATACTTTATGTAGATAAAATTAATTTTTAACATACAGGAAAAAAAATAATCTCTTGGTTATAAAATAGTATAATATTCTATATAATCAATGGTATTACCTACTACCGATGATATTTATTTAAGTATAAACTAGGTATGTTTATTAATAATGGGAACGTTAGAAATATATTAAACAAAATAATAAATATCTTATTTTTATTTATGATAAAAATAATTAAAACTGAAATACTTAGAATTGGTGTGCCATGGAGTAAGTAATAATTTCAATAATAAATATATGTACATTTAATACAAGCCATGACATTTGAAAAATGATTTCAAGCCAACATGGTTTAACTAATATGGACACAATTGAGTTACAACCACGTACATAATATAATCTATTGAAAAATTGAGTATTTATTTCTTTATCACTATCTTCATTTTTCATAACAATAAAAGAGTTAATCAATATGAAAATTAAGCACATAGTAACACAACTAACTATATAAGAACTTTATTTTATATTAATGAGTGAGAAAATTGTCTACTATAATAGTAGAATAATTCGCCCAAACTGTTATGTAAGAAAAATGTGTAGGTATCTACCTAACTGATCGACACAGAGTATGAGGTCATCTGATTATGAAATATGAACTATTGAAGGAAAATTTAAAAATATTAAAATTTTAATATAGTAAAATACGAATAAGTAAAGTTGTTACTTAGTATACTTTTAGAACTTTAGAATTGTATCGCTTTAAAAGTTTTAGTATAGTTTTACGATAGTTCTATCTATAAAAGAGAAAAATGGAATTCTTTATATTATTTTTGTAACTTCCGTTTTTATCTTTACCTCCCTGTATTTTCATTTATTTTTTAACTCATTTAATAAAATTTGATTCGTATTTCACCATAGTAATTTACGGCAGAAAACGTTTGACAAGAATTTTGGAAACATAAAATTATACTGACGTAATTACCAGCTGTCACCAACAATTACCTATACTAGACGTGACTAGTTTACAAACGGATATTTTTCCTCATGACAAACTACTGAACGAGACAAGAAGAAATCTTTTTTTAAGGACATGAACATTTTTCTAGAATTTTAACTAACATTATTTTCCTTTTTATATTAAAAATGTTAGTATATGATTGAAAGTTATACTTAATTGTAAATAAGAGAGAAAAAATACAAATTTTAATTTAAATATTATTGAATAATATATTAACTTGGTAAGTTGTAAATAACTAAAATTTATGTTTAAACAAATTATATATTATGTTTTATTTGGAGCACTTTAATTATTACCTAGTTCGAATATTATATAGCCAATAAATTATAAAGTAAGTTCAAATTGTTTATAAAAATTTAAATATTTAATTTGTTAAATTTTTCGTGATAATTAAAAATAATTTTAGTACCTATATCTTTAACAAAATTATGGATAAAATATAAATGTTCTATACGATTCTAAGACATTTAGCTTTAAGGATGAATAAGTAGTTAAATGATATTTTTTCAGTAAAGATAGGGAATTGTATATGATATCAAATTATGTTCTCAGTCATTCAGGCATAAAGGTTAATGTATAATAAATAAATAACTTAAATTAGTTGTTAATAGTTAGATTTTCTTCATCATGGACAATTATGCAACTACAGCAGTATATAGGCAACATTTCCAATACTCTTTTTCTGATAAACCAAGTCAATAATAGATGAAATATGTAAATATATATATATAAATATATATATATATGTCTATAATTGCAATCATTTTCTTGAACAGAAAAAAAAAATTATCATTTTTAATCAATTTACAATACTGTAGAATATTTAAGGTATTCTATTCTTATTATTTGTAATGTAAAAATGTAAATGTGTATCTATATTGACTATTATTACTATGAAAAAAAAAATGTTATTGTTCTAAATTATACTAAAAACATGAACGGCGACAGGGGATGTTTTATTTTATGATTGTTATTTTACCACTACCATTTTCATCTTTAAATAAACGAAAATCTAACTGAGGAGGTTTGGTCCCTTGTATATTATTATATATTCATGAAAATATAGCGTTATGGAATACTCACCCGCTGAGCCCTTTACAGGCACCGGTCTGTAGATTTTGTTAATACACGTCAGGTGTACGAGAGTACCTACTCGTAAATGTATAATATACATTGTATATATTATTTTATATTAATACTTAATATTTATTAATACTATTTATTGAAAAACACGAAAGCTTAGTAAAATAATTTTTTTTCTTTTATTTGAAATTTGTAATCAAATAAAATTTTCCGGTGAGTTCGAAAATTTATATCATTTTTATTATATCTATCATAAGTAAACGTAAATATTGATTTTAGTTTTCTATGACTCTCAAATAGAAAACCTGCATTTTAAACATGACATTTAAATAAATATTTCAATAACTATAATAACTGATACGTCTTGATAAGTTTAAAGTTCGTTCATAAGATTTTTGATTTAAAAAAAACAAATGTCTATGTTTAATAGCACAAGATAAAATTCCAGAAAATTGTATTATACCTATTTGTACATAAATTAAATAGCCAATACACAAAATGCTAATCGTAATTGTTTTGACATTTAGAAAAAATAGAGAGATATAAAAATGTCTATCTAATTTTACATTTTAGTAATTTATAGAATTAATTACTGAAGTATGTAACATTCTTTAAAGATCACATTTTAAGACGAAAAAATTCTTCGCATATTAAAGGCTTACTGTTTAAGGCAAGGTGAGTATATTATAAAATAAAAACAGAAATTGGTTACGATTACCTATCGCATTGTAAAAACATTTTGGCGACGTTTCAAGCATTTTTTTATGTAAAGCAATACATCTTCTAATGATGTTTTTTTATATTTTTTCTTATTAACATACTTTGAAGAATATAAAAAGTACTAAAAAATTTCAAGTAGTATTTTTAAGAATTCAAAACTAAATTCAAAGAAGTCATAAACTGTATTGCAAAATTAAATTGTAACTCAGTAATTTCATTCATTATTTTAAGATGTCAGTCAAATGAAACAAATGAAAAATTTCAATTATTAATTCACAAACTCTATCAAACGTTTTTAAATATTAGTAAATATATTTTAAAAACTATAATTCTTAAAATGTATCTTGATATTATTTTACAGCAAAGTAGTGATGGTTGATATTTTTAATATTTTTCTGAGTAAACTGTTTATTGAAACCATAGCACATAATATAATATTTTAACAACAATTTTAAAAAAAAATTAAGAAGTAATTTTATTTTATTTGTAAAGTAATGTCTAACCAAAGTTAATCTATTTCACTTACAAATGAGGAATATAACTATCTTGTTTTATCTATAAAATATTATTCAAATTATCAAAATTAAATGAAACACCTAAACAGAAAGAATGATACCGATATTTAAAGTATCTATACCAGAAAATATTATGCTTGACAATGTTAAAATTTATTGAAAATATATTATATTATATTTCATTCGTACACTTATTTACTAATTTTTCACTTTTTTTATTTTTTATAGTGTCTATAGTAAATTGTAAAAGTTTATAAAAATAATATTATCATGTATGAAAATCTAATAAATTATGAACTTAATTTTAATACTTGGTGATCATATTTGGTCGTTTGGTTAAAAATATTAATCTAGGGAAGTAAAAAATTGTAATTTTATGAACAGAAATTAAAAGTCAAAAAGTATTAAAACTGATTAATATTGAATCATTAAAAGTAATAATTAAAGGTTAATGCTTTGTGATTAAATTGTTATAAAATTGTTACAATATTAAAATAATAAATACTAAATACATTTTTTCAATCTACTATTTATGTTAAGGGCATTTAATTTGACATAATGTATTATTTTATTAAAAAATCATAACTTTTAATAAATATATATATTATATATATACACTCACATTTATAAAATGTTTAAAAAGTAAATTAATTATGTCAATTTTTTCCTTCTTTCATTTTTTTTAAATTTTTTTTTTATGAGTTACTGTTATAATTTATATTTTTCTCAGCCTATACATTTCATTAATTAATTTTTAAAATGACATGTAGTATAATATTTTTATTTTACGTCAATAAAGGTATAAAAAGGGTGTGTAGGATAGGTACAGAGATCTGGTTGGGTATTGATCTTACCTGGTTACAGGGAGCATGAGATAATGATTAAACTAAATATTTAAAATTTGAAACAATGATAAATCATGGCGTTAGAAAGACGATTCTTTAAATTGATCTCAGTATGGCGTGTAATTTTTATATAGAAATAGCTATAAAACTTTTGAATACTTATGAAAAAAAATCCATTATCCAGATATCGTACGTTATTTTAAACAATATATTAGTAGCAAATATAATTAAATAAACTCTATAAGAAAATTAGTTAAATTTATGATTGCGAAATACATAAAATCAAAGTGCAAACCCAGAATGTAAACAAATAAAACTACGTCGGTCGTCAAGATAAACAAACTAATTCAAAAACTTGTGGTTTCCTATTAACCAATAGCTTCTCAGTGCGTTCTAAATCTAATAGACAATAATTTAGAACAAAAAAAATACATTATTTATAACATGAGAAGATATAGGTAACACGAAATATTATGGTCATTTAAAATCTACAATGTTGTATTCTATCGTAATAACTATCAACTAACCAATAACAATAAAAATTATACTGTTTAAAAATAAATAAAAACTATTCTAGGAAATAAGATAAAATCAATTTAACTTACCTCATCAAATATAAAATTGTCAATTTCCTCAAGTGGCATGCCATACAACTCACTAGGAAACGGCTCAAATTTGCTGGGCAACACAGATCCATCTAACACGCTCACTTTATTTCGAGTTTGGTAACCATACCCAACAGACGTTGAAACATGTTGTCTGGTTTCCAGCGAATCTTTCGTTAATGGCCGAACTTGTACTTTAGGTTCTGTTGGACTAGGTGTAGGCGGTTGCTGGCGACGACTTGCCAATATTGTATTGGGTAAACGAATTGGTAACATGATCAGAAGATTATATTTCACAGGTTCACGTTCATACAATTAATTTCCTAAAAGCAACAATAAAATGTAAATAAATATTATTCTTCAACTAAATTATTTTCATTAACAATAAAATTTTCTTATTCAACTAAGTGTTAGTATAAAAATATTTGCAAACGAAAATTATTCGATTATACTTTAATATATTAATATAACATTAATTTTTATAATATTGTATATATCATTCATAAAAATTAAAATCCCCTATTATTTTCTAATTTATTCATCAAAAATACCACAGTAAAAATTATAACAAAATATACCAATTCATCGACAACATAAATTTAAGATTTATTTTTATTACAATACGACGACACATGTTAGCCAATAAACTTAACAATTTAGTGTATCTGTATCTTATCCACATTTTTAAAATCTTTTTATTCTAAGTTTCCATTGATAGGGTTATAAAACATTAATACTGATGGATGATAGAACATAAATACTTTTATTGAGTCAATGATATTATCATGTTTAAGATAAGTTTTATTTGTGATGTTCCGAAAGAAAAAAAAAGATAAATTAGCATCTAGATAAGATGTATATCAATGCGTAAGTGCAACATCCGGCTACTGAAAAACGTATCCGGAAAAAAAAGTCAATAGTAGCTCAGAAATGTGGTTTAAGAATACAAAGATACTAGATAGTACCTATATAATAATTATGGACCTATAGTAAGAGCGGGGAAGAGATACCTATACCTACGCACGCCATTTTTGTAAGAAACTCGAAACACTGATGGACATGATAGGCGACGTGGTTACTAAACGGTCAGTCACGCACTTCGCACCTACGGGATTACACCACGATAAAAGTGCAGCAGACCAAAGAATGGAACAATCAGCTTAAGAAAGATATACTGACACGTTGCTACACTCAATAATACCTGCCATGGTGCACTCAAGAGATTAGCAGCAGACTACCAAATACTACGACACAGCGCGAAGTCTTTCTACAGCAACAACAAAAACAACAACAGGTCAACGTATCCGGTGAATTACATTGCAGACTGATGAGATGATAGTATAATATTTTTTGCGTTAACATCTTGGGTTTTTCCTTGGACGTACATTTTTTTTACTGTTATTACCTTATCATTATTACACCTATACAATTACCATTTTAGTATGTTCAATAAAAAATAAAATAATAATTTTTAAAATCTTATCTATAATATACATATGTATTATAATTTATAATATTATATAATATTATTTTATTTATAATAAATGAAAAATGTATGTTTTATGAATAGACACAAAATAAGTACTATATAGTTACTATATTCATTTATTCGCTTACTTGACTAACTTCTATTCTAGTTGTCATATTAGGTAATAAATATTATAACGCTATAATTTGAGATTCTAAATATCGAATCTTTGTTGTGTTTGATACAAAGTATAACATTTAAAAAAAAAAAATAATAAAACCTAACAAAAAATCGTTTAAGTACTTCAACAGATGAACTCCTAGTATAATATATGATATAGTATGATCCATTGATCTTGGATGACTATATTTATGATGAAAACATAATATAAATATAAAACAAATGCATTGTACTTTCTTTATTAAAAAAAATTCTAAATTCGTATTTCATAAAGTTTGTTTTATATTTTACCTTTTATTGTTACTTTCTTTACAAAATAATGAGAATTCTTTTATTTTAATTCTGATAGTGCATCATGAGCACTATTTTTCTAAATACAAACACAAAACATATAAATAATAGTTAAGCTTTTGATAAATTCTATAATTAAAAACTATAATCCATTAGTTGACATTTTAATATAATAATCACTTGTCTAGTACAAAATTAAAGTTATATTTATATTTTATGTTATCGCTAAATTTTTAAACAAATTACAGAATAGATTAGTAATGACATATTTAAAAATAATTTTTAAATATTAAATTATACTAAATTCTTATAAAACCCACCATTACAATTCAATATAAAAATATAATCAATGCTAATACCAATAAAAAACAGTAACGATAATAATTAAATAAAAATAACTAAATAAATTTTTGTATAAATATTTGTTTTGTATTCTTTTGTCCTCATTTTTTTTTTTGTTATTTAAAATTCAATATAAACATATGCTGTTCATGTTTAATGAAAAATGCTTATAAAAAAATATGATAAATTAAAACCTATGCATACCGGTATATAACTAAAAATAAATAAATAATCCCTATACAAAATAATTATGATTACATACATATATCTGAATATAATTATCTTGCTCATCATAGAAATCAATATTTTAGTCATATGTCCAAGTTAAATATAAACGATATATTTTTAATGCATACAAATGAAAAATAAATTGATAAAATAATTGTTTAAACATAATAAGTAACATCGTTATTTGTTCGCTAAATTTTTTTAAATTTTTTTTATCTTATAAGTAAAATTGTATTTATGAAAGGTGTATTATATTGTATTATTTTTCAAACATATATCAAGAAAAATGCTTATTGGAATGAGATATCGATAGTTCAAGCAAAATTATTCAACAGTACTAACAAGTATACTGATCATGTGTTTAGAAATTTGTTTATTTCATTAGTTATTATCTTATTGATGTAAGGAAATATTGAAAAACGTGCTAAGAATACATTTTACATATATTTTATGTGTTAAACTTATCGTAAACATAAAAATCCCGAACAGGAAACAGAGATGGGTTGATGAACTAACTTGTTTTTGAATATTGAAATATAATATAAATAAAACCGTTTGTGATAAACACGGGTGTATCGTAAATTTCATCACGGATTAAAAAAAAAAAAAATCATGTTTTGTAGAATTTAATTACGTTTTAGAAAAATAGTCAATAATCGCGTATAATTTAATATAAACTATTACTGTCAAAATTGAAATTTCTTATTGAAAGTTTTCTATATGATACATGATATTTTTAAATATAATATATATATATATATATCTTAGTTAAGTATCAAATATTATATAGATGACTCATTAGATAAGTTATTTAGATAATATGGACTTAACATTTTTCAAATTAAAGACTATACAGATTAATATATAGAACTAAATTATTAAAAAAACATTTTTTTTTAGTTTACCTCAATATTCTTTAGTAAAACTAAACATTTGTTTTTTTATGTATTTAAATCACTAAAATTGATGCTTTTTAATAATTATTATTCTTATTGGTGTTGATCGTGACAATAATAACAAACAATGCTTGAATTTAATGATATACATACTATTCCATGTAATGGAATAGTCGTATATAGTGCATAAAGCCCTGTAAATTTCGAAAGTTTATTATGACCTATTAAATATAATCGTCTATACACGTGTAAACTATTAATAAAAACTAAACACAATTAAAAATATTAGGATTAGGGTATTTTATTCCCATACACACTACTATCTTGCGCCAAGATGAGCGAAGTAAGAAAGTGTTTAACGCTCAGTCGTAAATAAATCTTTAGATCGATATGACCAAGTTGTATTTTTCAATTTAAATGCTTGGTAAATAATACTAATACCATTATGATATTTTAACACTTTCGTATTTCATACTTTTTTTCCAGAATATTTAACATAATAATAAACAATTACACAATTTTAAAACAATATTTTTAAAGATATTCCTGTAATTTTCTTGGTATATTTTCAATTATCTATAATTTTTGTAAATATTAATATTTAAGTTGAAAAATCTTTCTTTTTTTTTAAACTACTCGTATAACATTTACGACTAACTTGAGGTTAAAAAGTAGAACTTTAGATATATTTTACTATTTTTAAAATTTTTTACGGTACTTAATATTTTCTTTAAAACATTAGCATTACAGAACATAGCCGTTAGATATAAAATTTAATAGCTATAGCTTGCTCAAAATTTAAAATAAATTTTAATTGACATTTTTAGTACCTATCCGATGTTTAACATGAAAAGATACGATAAATAAGTGTTTAATTCCAGTTTAGAATCCCTTTCGTTGTTACAAGACAGTGTTTTCATCGTAAATTTAAATATGTAATAATAAATGATTTTGATTTTATATTCAAAAAACAATTCTGCAAAGTAATTCGGTTTACTTGTGCATGTACTATGTTTTTAGTTGATATTTTAGAGACTTCAAATGCTCATAAATTATTTTAATTAACAACTTTTAGCAATTTTCACATATATCAAAAAAAAAGAATCATTATTTTTAGAATTTAAATTTAAATTCAACAAAAAAAGAGTTTTTTAATTCATAAAATAAATATTTTTTCCCATCATTTATTTATATTTACTATAACTTACCTGCATATTAATACATGTATAGAACACAATATAAATTGTACGTTGGTAGTTATTATAATTCAAACAACGATAAACGATTTATTTGAATAATGAAATAAAGACCAACTCAATATCTGGACACGTAAATTGTATATGTATCTTTAGCAGAGACATTTATAGAGCATAAATTATACACCAAGAGTACTTTATCTAAATACTCCCGACATAGGTATACTCAATACATACATAGGTACTACTCAACATAGGTCGACACTCAATGGTATACAAAAAAAGGAAAAATCTATCACACACAAAATAAATAAATAAAATGAACCTTTAGTCCATTGATGATTGAAAGCTATTCTCTCATCATCACAATAGTCGTCAATGATTGCCAATATAGTCTCCTAAAGAATACCGGAAGGAATCCGGTAACATCGAGGCATTGTATCGGGAACGGTAACACGACACCGCGAGGATAAACGAATAGAGGACGACGGTCGAGAAATAACATTATTATTATCGTTGATATAGCCGACGGCAACGAGGAGAGGAAACGAGCGAAAAACCCGCGGCGGCGGCGACTTCGACGGTCATCAACAAGTTGTGAGCGACGGACGAGGCAGGGGAGCGGACCGTCTGCGGATGACGGAACGAACGCGAGTAGACGAACGCAAAGCGTACGCGTACGGCCACCGCACCATGACGACTACTACTACTCCTACTACTACTACGCTGTACTACGGCGGCACTAGCATTTTATCTGACCGGCCCACTGCCGCCGCTACCACCCTCTTACGACAGGGGAGGTTCGACGGAAGAGGAAAAAAATTTTTTGCGCCGCCAGACAGCGCGCACAAACCTTTGCTGCTAGGACATAGGCACTATAGAACACTCTGGCACTATCCTGCACCCCTCATCGCTCGAGCACATATATTATTATGTATGCGAAAGTTAGTAGGTGGGTGGGTGGAAAGGCAGGTATAGACAGGTATATATGCGTATAAAATACGTACGCGTTGTATGAATATTGCATGGGCCTCGCGCACTTCGTACTTAGGTTTCACGAAGACGGCGTTTCTAAACCATACGTCTCGGTACAGATCGCTATTTTTCCCCTCAGAACTATGTAGTAGATATAATATCCTGTACAAGACTAGTAACCTGCAGTTACCATTCACCATTTGCACTGTCACAGCTTTCATCGTTTACATTTGAAACTTTACATTATACCACCTACACACACATACATACACACACACACACATGCACTGGCATTTAAGATTATCATAATACTTTTTTCCATTATAATATCATTTGCATTATTGTTACAGTTACACATTGCTGTACAGCAAGCACAAAATTTCACAACACTAACTGTTTGAATGATACTTCACTGGACACTGTTAATATTATAATATCCGCTTACTGCTAACTACTTCAGGACATCGTGTACAAATTTGTAGTAACATAATTTAGCCTAAGTTAGGGCGGAGGAGAGACGTTAGAAAAAAAATTCAAATTATAAATATTATGCAGGTATTCGTATTTCATAGAATTTATATTTTGCTTACATCGTATTATATAAGATAATAAACTTGGAACATTCCCCCCCTCATATATCTGACATATATTTTAAATCTAAATATTCGTAGCACATAAAATTCCACAAAAATATTGTAAAAATCGATGAATATTTATTAATTACATAAAAATTATAAGTTAATTAATTTTTATAGACATCATTTTAAAATATTTCAAGCACATATATTACCAATATTTATGTACATAGTGCCATATGTCTAAACAGATTATCAATGAAATAAACATACACCAATGAATTATGACAGTTGATATTATTCCAATAAAGTAGCTTTGAAAGCTTAAAATGTATAAAATTAATTGCTAGTATATTTTTGGATCTCAACCATGTGGTACTTATTGTTTTTTTTAATTTTTTTATTTACTGTTTAGTTACACAATAGTTGCCAACTTTATATTTAGTGAGGGTTGATGAAAAATACCAAAAGTTTTAGGCTCTAACTGATCCTTTTTGGCTTTCTGTTATAATTCACGTGCAAATTGTTTTGTTTTCAAAGTTCAGTCAATTAATTCTGTCAGTTTATATATTTTATACAGATATTTAATAACATATTTATATTATTAATAGTTGTAGTTTATATTTCAATTAATAATACGGTAAGTAGAACTAATTTTAACTAAAAACATCACATATGTAATTATTATTTCATATGATATAACTACCTAACAGTTATTTACTTATGTAGTTAGATATATTATAATTCAATACTAACGTACTACGGTAAAACAGTGTAAACTGGTTCATAATGCATATGGCATAAAATGAATATAAATATTTTGAAAATTCCGTTGTGTTATGGAAACAATAATATACGCAGTGGCAAAATATTCCAAGTTACTAAAAATAATATTATTGAATTACAACAAAATAAATAATTTATTTTTATTTTTTGTTTAAGTATCCAATTTTGTAAAAATTTGAATTTCAAATGTTTATAAATAATAAAAAGCGAAAAAATAGACAACCATTCTGTTTTACAGTAAATGTGTGTTAAATGTATCTTGTCATAGAGCTAGTCACTGTAATTTATGTGTTCAATCTTAATTCAGTTATAATAAATCACAATTGCTTACGCAAAACGATTCTGAGTAAAAATAATTTTCTAGCCCATACTATAAATTTTGAAATACCCGTCATTAGCTAATAATGTATCTACATGTTTTAAAAATACCACTGTGTAAAAAGAAAAATATAAATTATGTAAAAATATCAAAATATCAAAAATCGTTTAAGAAAAGATAATAGTTTTACGTGTCATCAATTTGAACTTCAATAGCTCATAAAATATTTATGCGCCTTTATGTTAAACTTTTTTTTTTATTCAACGTAAGAACAACTTCTAAGAAACCTTATATTAAATTTTCAAGTTTTTTACTCAAAAACAAAAATGTTATCATACATAAATCAAATAAAAACTAAATAAGAAGAAAATTTCACGAGTGTATAAATAGCACAAAATTGTCAAAAATTACAAAGAACAAAATTCACATCTGTAAATAATAATACGAAAATTTGGTGAATTATTTAAGTATCTACTGTAATTAATTTGTGAATTACATCAAAAAACATAATCAATTTTATTGAAATCTGTATTGTGTATAAATTCCCTTTCTCCCTTAATTTTTTATTTCAGATTCTTTATAAAATTTATATACCAAGCATTTTTACTGAAATATCAACTAGATCCAATACGTTACCGGAAATCACTGTCAAAATAGAAAAAAATTTAATGTTCCAAAATTTAGCAATATGTAAAAAAAAAAAACATATTATTAAATCAATACATTAATTATTAAACTCAGATATAAAGTTTATTTTATCTTAAATAAAATTTACAGATCACTTGTATACGGTTTACTTAAAAAATTAAAAATAACAAACACTATATTAGATTACGCCAAACTTAGTTGACTAAATATTATGCGTAGATCTGACGGATAAAATAAATATGACGAGTCCGTCTTCTATCAGAATGACTGTGTAACATCTATTATTTCTATCCAAACATTCTTGACAAAATATAAGCAAAATAGCACTCATCATATTTCTAATTTTTAAGCCAAATTATTCAATTAATCAAACCTAATATTTCAATATTTACAGAGAAGGTATGATTATTATTAGCGCTATACATTTCTCATACTTAAAAATAATAATTATATAAATACGAGTAGAATTTACGAACTATAAGAAGTATACTGCTAATAGTTTGATAGTTATTAAATGATAAATTTGACAATACACTACTGTAAATTTTGAATAATATGATTATTATTTATTCAGTGTAATGTTATTCATAAACTATAAATTATAACTGATTTAGTCTATTCGACTTAACAGCTGAGTTATTTATTTTAAGGTTACAATGACACTTATTGATATGTAATTAAAATTACTGATTAACACTTATAATATATCAATTTATGCTATAAATTTAATCAAAATAAAAGTTCGTTAAATTTTTTTATGGACATCAAACGAATAATTTTCATAAAATTTTAAAAATTTAAAAATTTTATATTATTTAGTGAAGTTTTCAAGTCCAAAGCTTACTTAATTTTAATAGTTTCCTAACAAAATAAAAAACGAAAGAATAGTTAGTTGAACTATTATGAAAACAAATATCACTAAGAAAAAATTTCGAGATTGATTTAAATATCAGTTAAAAAATATTTTATAAATATTTCAAAAAATAAAAATAAAAATGTTTTGTATAATATACATTATTTTACGTGCGATGTTTATTATGCAAGTGAAACTCCCAAAATAAACATCTCAAAAATGATTACATTAAGTATAATACATTACAAATGTAATTAATGGTATAAACAAAATAATTTATTATAATGTATATAATATATTTAGCTATCTAAATTTAATTAATAATTTCACGGTTGTTTTATATTTTGAAATATTCGTTCATATTTTTTTTCCATGCAACATTTGTTTTTTCTTTGGATACTAACAAGTTTATCAGTAGAAGGGTAAATAATTCAAGTTGCGTGTTTAAATTGCATGAGTATAGCCTGTTAAAAAATAACTTAACACGCACATATTAAAAAAATACATAGTAACAGAGCCAAAAATTTTTATTTTGATTAACAATCCACCCAAAATTTTCAAAAGTATACACTATTTATCTACTTTGTTTATTTGATAACACTGAACGATTGTAATTTATAAAGATATAAAATAATATCACACTTACAAACTCAACGATTTATACAATCCCAAAATATATATCTCATTATTTAAATTGTATTATACTATTTATTTAATAAATATCCAAACACATTAGACAATTCGTTTTTTTTAACACTTATTTATTTTAAACACTAAATATATTTTTTCTTTTCTGCAAATAATACATTAGAGTATTAGACAACATGATTTACTAAAATACATTACTAATATATTTCTTTCAAAATTAAATTTTTGATAATTCGTCCAATTTAATTATTACATAAAGACAACTTTAAAAAAAAAAAATAAACGTGTTCTAAAATGCATTTTGGCATTTAGTTAAATATTATTTTTCAATCCAATTGAATTTAAATTGTTTTTGAAAAATAACAGAATAATTGAATAGGTATTTTCTTATTATAAAATTAACTGATTGTTTGATACACCATTTAATTTACATTAGCATTACCTATTATTTGACGGTAATTTTTGTTTAAAATAATTATGAATTTAATTTTAAATTTATTGATTACTCCAGTCTGATCTGAAAAAAGTAATTTATAGGTTATTTCACATTTTTTTTTTTTTTAAATTGTCAACTGGATAAATTGAAACCTTTCACTTTAGTACCTATTTTATATTTATACATATTTTTTAAATAATTTTAAACGAGCCAAACAAAAAATAACTGACGGATAATTTACTTAATATTTATGGTTAAAGTTGCAATAAATATTATTTAATGCATTTGTTTGCTCTATTATTGTTTTCTGATATACATACACATAGACATATTTCATTTTAATTTTTTTTACAGATTCATAAAAATATTTACTGCCAAGTTCTAATATTTTTGTACTCGATAAGTTATAAGTACATATAACTTATATATCTTATTAAAAAAATACATAAAATCGTTTGTCTGTCTAACAAATGGTTATTGGTTTTGGCATCTATATTTAGATAACTATTTTATAAGCTCCAATGTTTTTCAATTTTATTTCCTATATGAATGAGTAATTTATAATGTTACAAAACTTGTTTAATTTATATTGTTAATAACAAAATAAACTTAAAATACTTACATGAATATATTTAATTTTAACATTAAAAAATTAACAGTATTAAAATTTATTACTATTATATAATGTATAATTCATACTTAAAAATATTCAAGTGATAGCATTTCAAAAAAAAAATATAATGAGCATATTATTTATATAGATTACAGAGGGTTTGGCAATAATTTAATTTTTTAAAGTAATAAAAAAATAAAAATATTCCAATGCATTATAGTAAATATATAATATTAATACAATAGATTATATATTTTAACATTTTGTTTAAATGTTGATTCTTAGTTTAAGTGAAATAATGCAATATAAAATGTTCTATTTTATTTTATTTTATAATTTCGTTAATAATGGAGGTATTCTTAATTATTTCTTACATTAATAAACATATAAGTACATATTATGTGACAATGCATAATTGATTTTATTAAATAAACAAATATTCGTAACATATTGGTTCTAATATTTTCTAATAATATCCAGTAGATAAATCATATCAATATTAGCATTTAGTGAAGGATAAATAATATGCGTTCTTAAACATATTTAGGTTTAAAAGTTTATTTTCATAATTTTTTTATTATTGGGGCTTCAAATTTAATAAATTTGCATATTTTATTTGTTTTTCCGTAGAAGGGGTTATCCAATTTCCATTAGTATACTAAATACTTTTCCATAATATTTGATAATTTATATTTATTTAACCAATTTCAGATCAGAGAAATAAAAACATTATCAATGTATGAATTACAAATTATAAAAAATTATAAATAAAGAAAGAAAAAAAGGGAAAAGTCACTCTTGCTATATAGTATTTTTTAAATGCATCCTAATTATTGAATAGATCACTGTAATAGGCGTATTAAATTTAATTTCAATGTTAAAATTATATATACGAAAACAATTTTGATTTGAGATGGTGAGTCAAGTATATAATTCTTAATAAAACGGTAGATTGAACTACTTTTTACCAAAAACGTCGCATATATATATATATACATAATATTATACCTAATTATTATAAAATTATATAATTTATTATTATTATTATTCAAGTCAATACCGTCGTTGAATAGAACGGTTTAATTCTTCAATTGTTGAAATCAATAAGAATTTAACTTTTAGTTTTTCCATTTTATTTTAGAATCTGAGCAAATCGATGGAATGTAAGTATATATATTTAATTTTACAATAGTGTGTTTTATAAATTAAAACCTCTTCAAATATACGTCGACTAATATATTATATACCATGACGCGTACAATAAAACCTTAGTTAGCAGAAGTCAGCCTCGCTTATACTTAGCATATTAACCATGCCTTATCTAAGAAGCAATATACGATGTCAATAAACGACAATCTTTACACTATGAAGAGACCAAACATAAGCTTAAATAAGCATATGTGTCTATATTATTAAAAATAAGTAGGTACACTACGCGGAAATCCAATACTAGTCTCATATTTTAAGACACACCGACCACCAATTGATGAGAATATACAACTCACCTATAAGACAAGGATGCTAGAGTTTTGACGTTCGTATCTTAGAAGATAATATACATCACATGAGTTGATAATAAAACGACGGGAAAAGTTACAATTTACGAACATAAAAGCACAGTCTGAAGAAGCCCTTATTTTCCACAGATTTATCGTATTTGGTGTTTTGTGTTTCGAAAATAATAAAACAAGAATTAACGGAAAAACCAATAGATTAAGTTTTTTAGCACGGCATCTTAAGTTCTAATTAAGGATTAACAATAATATAGAGAAAGGAGCTAAACATTACAGTTAAAATCAACAGGAACTACATGAATTAGATTATTGTTCAAATCCATCTAACTACTCGTATTATCTTTACAAAATGATTGTACAAGCGTATTGTTTCACCTATTCAAAGTAAGCTGGACAGTTGACAAACTCGTTATATATTGCTATATGGCGTGCTGTCACAATATATAATAAGTAAACAACGAACATTGATGATAAACTTACAAATGAACCTTTTATCTTTCTATATCTTTTAGGTACACCTTCTATTTACATCATACCTATATTTATATAATTTCAATTAATAAATTATGAGTGTCGTGTATCTTTATTTATATATTTAGTTGGGTAGAACCCGATTTAATAAGTATCCGTTATTTAATATAATTCTATCAAACTACGATACAATTAAAACGGAATTGTTCAGAAAATGTATTTATTTACTCGTGATTTAATTAAGTCATTATAAGCATTTAACACAACATTAAACTTTTCACGTTGTGTATAAATACACAATACAATCATCATAAATCAAATAAAAATTCACTAATTTCATTTTTAATGCGTATTAGAAATTATCAGTATAGAACATAGGTATCTAAGTAAGCACTAAAAATAAAATAAAAAGAAATAAAATAAGTTTTTTTATGACACTTAATCAATTAAAGCACCTACTTCCTAAGTAATATATTATTAATTATTATAGGTATATTTACAAATCTAGTTTAAGTAAGTATCTAGTAACAAGTTTAGTATTGTAGAAACATAATAATTAATTAATAAGATTTATTATTGTGGTTATTATACTACTCATTTATTTTCTGTTATTTCTGATCATATTTAAAATGTATTATAGTTATTAGCTATCTATATTATATGAATAATTAAGTAATATAAAGCAAATTTTAATTTTTAAAAAAAAAATATGTAAGTGTCAACCACAAATAATATTTTTAAACTATAACAAAATAACGAATACCATTATTTATAGAATAAGACAATTATGTAAATATGCAATTTTGTCAAAATTTAAATACAAAATGTCTAAAAAAAATAATACTTATATTTTTAGATATTTAGATTTCAGTATGAACTTCTTATCAGAAACTTTGTGGTAATTTTCAAGCATTTTTACCCAGCAAATAATTTTTATTAACGTTTATGAAAAAAATGGAAAATTTCAAATGTCTTTAAATAACTCTTAATTAGTTAATATCTTTAAAACTATATAGTTTTTTTTTAAATTAATAAAAATCACCTGTTAAAGCGCCTGTAGTGCCATCTACACTCTATCGGATCATCCTTGCTAATATTAATAAATAAACTAAACATAAAATAATAATACTAATACATTTGATCATATTATCTTAGTCAACCAGTGGCGTAGGTAGACATGTTTTTCTGGGTTAGGCCCGATATTTTATTGGAAATATTATTATTCATAGTCATACAATTATTGGGTAAAAATTATAGGTGATATGTTCAATACAATATAAAATATGTATTTTTGGAGCAAGGTGGGTAGGTCCGGGCTACCTACTAAAGTACTAAGTCTATCCAATGGCTACACCACTGTGGTAGACAACATAGTGTATTAATATTATATATATTATGTTTACGATTTTAACATCTTCACGGCAACAGATCCAAAGTACAAAATGTATAATGTACATTATAATTTTTCAGTTAAACGTCTCATGATTAAGGATGAACGCGGTCGTGAACACGAAAAAAATACATTAATCAAATATATCATAATTCGTAGTTATAGATGGAAAAAAAATCGACTGCAACTATACAACACACGCGAACGATTAATAAATCAAAGCAAATTTTTATTCTTCATGTATAGTGGTAGAACTCGTGCAAGACTCAAATATAATATAATAATTAATGCTTTCCTGTACCACAGTAACCGCAATAATTTTAAAACCATGGTAATCTTTCAATATTGAGAAATGCTATCACTATGTTATCACTATTATTCTGCGCTATCATCACGACTTAAGATAATAGATTATCTTAAATCGTGGCTATCACTAAGTGTAACGACTCGTAAACACTTAACATCTGATTTCGGACATTTTGTGACGTCAGTGTGGTGTGTTGATTTTCGTTTACTGATGGAATGACGATATAATTGCCAAATCGAACACTGAAATCTGAATTAATAATTTTATTTTTGTTCGTTCTGTACATTTTTTAAACGTTGTACTTACTAATTCTGATGATACAACAGTCAGTACCGAGAATCATCGTTCTTGGCTGATAACTAATAAAATTAAGTTTATATAACACCGAGTCCTTAAACTTCATACTTACTACGGTCATCGTTACAGTTTCGGTGAAATCGCTGTTACCGTTGATTCGAACGCTGCACTTCGCTCATTCGCTGGTGGTAAGTTCAAATCGTCTAAATTGAACAGATTCACGCACAACCGTAATTATGCGTCCGTTGTTATCTAGGTTAACCGTGCTTCAGTGTTATTGGCTACAGTTTTCCTATTTCATGTATCGTCAAAATATCACGTGCCCGTTTAAGTAATTATAATAAATATAATATTATATAATAACATCGTTAAATCTTTTATCATTTATCATAATCTGATGACTAACGTAATAACGTACTATCACAGAATATTAAATATTAAAAAAATATTAAGAGGTTTAAAATGTTTAAATGGTATAATAACAAAAATATTCTAAATAATAATGTTTGAATGTTATTAATACTTAGTACATAACGTTAACTTGTTGTTACTATTATTGTAAACTGAAATGGTGTACATAAACATAGTGAAAATTTACAATTAACTTTTTTTTTCAAATATTAGAAGTATACATAATAAGTTACTTTTGATTACATTTATAATTATTCTTGTATCGATATAATAATTATACATAAAAGTAAATTGTAATTTTTTTAAAATTTTTTCTTGCCATTGAGTAACCTCAATTATTGTTAAAATAATTTATTTTTATACTATGTAGACATTTAAGAATAGTAACAGGTTATGCATACTTATAACATAAAAATAAATATGTTAAATTCCTGAATGAACAAAATATATTCAAATATTTTGTTATATTGATATAAAATAACAAATGTTTTTAATATTTATTATTTAAAGTATGTTACACTCGCATGCTGTGTCTCCGTCTTACAAACGCATAACATAGCAAATTATTCGTTCTGAGTAATTCATTTGATTCTGGCAAGTTTAATAATAACTGTGAATTGACCTTTTATTAAATTTAAGAGTAAGAATATTATCTAGTGAACCTCTAGGCTTTTTTATATTTTTAATATAAATTAAGTTATTAGCATTTTAAAAATCTAAATTATTTGTACGTTTTAAAATGCTTATAACTCACTTTAAAATAAAAATATATAAAAAAGTCTATAGGCTCTTTAGATATTATTCTTACTTTTAAATTTTATTACATTTAAATTCACTAGTGTATTAAATATGTCAGAGTTAAATGGAATATTTAGAATAAACAATTTGTTATGCTATATTGTAAGACAGAGACACCACATGCAGGTGTAACGTCCTCCTAAAATATGTCACCATTTATGTTAATATAGTCATATCTGCATATTTTAAATTATTGTATTTATTAAATCAATAGTCTTTACTAAACTCTTGTATTATTGTTATAACATTTCAAAATTTTTTAAAATACATATTTGTAAAAAAAAAAAATAATAACTGACTTACTTATATTTTAAATATGTTAAAATTCAGATGTAAAAAAATATAATACTTATAAAATGTTTTTAATCAATAAATTGTTTTATTTCTGCGGGACTTTGATATATTGGTTTAGAAAAATATATACTGTTAAAATTAACTACAAGTAATAAATTATAATAAATAAAATACAAATATTAGTTATCATATTAATATTTTGTTTCAGATAATTTTATGTTGCATGTGAATTATAATCGCCATGCCTTGGTGTATTATAGTTGGTTGTAATAATAATTTAAAAGCTACAAAGAAACATGAAAAAGATGTGTCGTATCATATTTTTCCTAAAAATCCACAACGACGTAATGCTTGGATGAAAAATATTAAACAACCGTTTAAGTTTAATGCAGATACATCGTATGTCTGTTCCAAACATTTTCTTTCTGATGACTTTGAATGTAATAGTTTAAAAGAACAATTACTTAACATTAAGATTAAAAGACAACTAAAAAGAACTGGTTGGTTACTATTAAATACTATTAAATCAATAATCTATTTTATAAAAGGTTAAAAATAGACTCAAGTGTGCAACATTTTTTCAGCTATTCCATCTATTAATATGCCTAATACTTCAGAAGACAAAAAATTAACAAATGAAATTAATAATCCAGATGAAAGCGTAAGTATAGTATAACATCAATATACATATTTCAATATTCTATGTGAGAAAACTTACCCGTCAACTACTTAAAATTGTCTATTCTTAGTATTCTCATCAAAAAACTTAGACCTAGCACCCTTGCTCTCGGATGGGTGACCACCTGAGCTTTTAGAGATGAATCCATAGTGCACACAAATACATACACGTGTTCCAACCGTACTAACCAAACTTTATAAAAAATCCTACTGTTTCTATTTACAACTAATGACATTAGTTGCCGGGCTTAAATAAGATCAATAATAAAAAATTAAACATATTATGTAAGTTATTTTTCATTAATACTTTTTATTTCATAGTACTTTCTTTTTTCACAGTTAAAATTTAATAATACATCCGATGTGCAAAAATGTGCTGTTTCCAGTTGTAACAGTATTATGTATAGTGGATCGGATGAGTTAAATCAGATGAGCAACAATAAAATTATGTTCCACAAATTTCCAACTGATACTGTAATATTAGAGAAATGGCTAAAGTTCTGTAATAATAATAAAAATATTTTACATGAATATCAAAATTGTCTAGTATGTTCAGAGCATTTCAACAAAGATGATTATGAAAACAAATATACTAATAAGGTAAAGTATATTATGATCTGGTATCAATTTCTAATCTAAAATGTAACCACTTAATTAATATCATTATTAAAAATAATATGTTTTTGAAGTCATCGCATCCATTAAAAGTATTGAAAAAAGATGCAGTACCAACGTTAAATGGTGGAATTAAAAATATTGAAGACGAGTTATCAAGGACAGAACGTAAAAAACTTGTGGATAAATTGTTAGCAGATTATGAAGAGCATCAAAAAAATGAAAAGAATCATCTGAATGGCATGGTATCAAAGTACCCAAGTTTTTTTTCTCCAAAAATTAATTCAAATGCTAAACTTGGTGATAAATTGAAATTGTTAAAATCAATGGATAATCAAATAACCAATCCTCCATCTAAAAAAAGGAAAATATCTACAGATCTAAAGTTAAATAAAGAATATTTAGAATTGCCATTTATTGATAAACTAACTAAAAAAATAAATCAAAATATTCAAGTAACACCTGTTAAAGGTGGATTTATGTTACATGCTCTACCACAAACAGTTAATAATGTATCGAATTCACATTTGGATAAAACTGTAATGGATGAGGAACAAGAAGTTATCATTGTCACAGAAGATGAAGCTAGCCATATAGATTTGTCTTCATATGAAGAAGAAGTTAAAGGGAATAACACTGAAGTGATTATAGTCACAGACTTAAAAGAAACTGAAAACACTCTTAAACACATAAAAAGTGTATCTAAAAAGAGTTTAACTAATAAAATTGATAGTGATAATGAGTGTGAGAAACTAATGAAAAACAATGAAAGTCTATGCACACCTTTAAATACAGACAAGAATTCATTGAGTGAAGATAAATGTTGCCAAGTAATAATTCCATGCAAAGGTTGTGAAAATAGAAGTCTTAAAATCAATAAACTTTTAAGAGAGAGAACAAGATTATTGAAAGATCTAAATCAAAATGGTGCATGGAAGGATCCAGATGAAATAAATACCTTAAAGAGGATGAATGGTGTTTTATCCTTATTATTAATGCAATGTGTTGGTGAAAAAAATGGTAAAAAGTCTCCATCCATACGAGTAGATTTAGTGCAAGATTCCATTGAGAGAATTGATCGTGGATGGTCAATGCAAGACACATCAGAAACATTATGTCAAGTCTTGAGTATTAACGCTTATGACGAATTTGCAAGAGCGTTTGAAATAATTAATGAAGTATAATGCAAGATGTTTTTTATGAAAGATTGATCTAAAACTTTCATTTATTTATATTTAGTATTTACTACACTATTCTTAGTAATCTTAAAATTATGTTTGATCACAGGGTAATACAAATATTAATTTTAATTTATGCTATTGATTTTTATTAAATGGGCTATTTTACATTACTAAACTAAACAGATTATGCTAAAAAAAAGAAAAAAGAGAGTGTGTTTTACAACTTTTGTATATTTTATCAAAATTTGTTATATTATTTATAAGTGTTATTGTATTAAATTGTATCATAATATTTAATAAAATTTGCTATTAAGTATCAATTATTATTTGATTAAAAACTATTTAATCTTGTTTTTATTTTAAAATAATTATAATATGCAAAGTATAATAGAAAGAGTTGGCATATTTAATCAGCTAATACTATGCACAATAAAAATTTTGTTCTAATCGTCGTTAAATTTTTTTTACATTTTAATTATTATTTCTCCATATTTAAATAAAAAATAAATTTTAATACTGATTAGAAGAAAAGTTATTACAGTTAGTTTTTTTAGTTACATCATTATGTATAATATAATCTATATATTTTAACTTTGAATAATAATATTTTTATTTTGAAATGAAAAAGGCAATCTTGCACGTATTTTATATGTATAGAAAATAATACATATTATATCATATCAAATTATTTATGAGGAGTCTTAACTTTTTGCCAAAAATCAAAAGCACTATACTGAAGTGTAAAATTGATAATATTATATCAATAGCTCAATTTTTAAATAGTATAAAAGAAATTTATAGAAACTTTCATTAAAATAAAACAATATTACGTGTGTTATTTAATAATAAATATGTTTTTTTTTCTTAAAAAACAATTATAGTAAATCATTAAAATTCAAATATCCTTGAAAAAAAAAAAAATTTATTTGAAAGTCCTTACAGTTAAATTATATTAAATAGAGATAATAATAAAATAGTTTTTTTTAATATAATTATGGCTTTAACATAATGTCCAAGCGTTGTTTAACATATTCCAATGCGTTTTTCAATATGTCCATTTCCAATTGTATCTGAGTATAGGCCAGCTGTTGAAATGTTGACAGCTTATCCTAAACATAAAATTGTTTATAATTAATTAATAATATTAACAAATAACTACATGTTACATAATTTTAAATCAATAAAATGGGAATAATTGATAACCTAACCAAGTGTTATCTATGTTTAAACTAAGTTGTTGACCAAAAAATTAATTATGTTGATTTAAAGTTTAGATTAGAGACCTTAAGGGTAAAAATTAAATTATTTTTTACAAAATATAATAATGGAAGAACGGGATTCTAAATATTCATTTAATAATGATTGATAAGTAAATTATAATTAATTACTAAAACAGATTTAAAATCTGAACAGACAAATTAATTAATTAATTATTAAGATTTACAATGTAGTTTTTTCTTTGCTTTTGTGTCTAAAGACACTTTTAAGTAGAAAAAATGCTTTCTCTTCAACTTTCAAGGTTGTTTCTGGTAGAAAATTGGTTTTATGAGTTGGTAATTTGAAAAAATCAAAGGTAAAAAAATTTCACGTAATTTTCTCGATAACTTGGAAAACTAAAAAATTTACTGTAAACAGTACTATAATTTATGTAATAACATTTTTTGACAATAATGATTTAAAATTGAATATTACTAATTTTTTTTTTTTTTTAGATATAGTATAAATTTCAAAATATTTAAACAATTTATAAATATTTAAAACGTTAAAAAAAAAAATTAGTTTTTTAAATAAATATATTTTTATGCTGAATACGATTTTTTTTTATTCTAACTAATTTCACGTTATATTACCTATGTTTCCTTAAACAACAGTAGTTGTATATTATATCAATTTTGTTAACACGTTTTCTTTCATATAATTAAATTTTAACTATTCAAATTTTATTTAGGTTACATAAAAACTAATCTTTAAAAATAAAATTGTTAGAAAATTATTACTATGACTTCGAATAGTTCGAATTCGAAACACCAGAAAGCATATCGCAAACGTAAACGCACCATAGAGTCTACGTCTGTACATCGTACGATGTATAGCTCGATATGAACATTATGAACCCGTATTGTTAATGAGTGGGAGTAGTGGTGAGTAGAGATTATTTAGTCGGTGGCGATTATATAACAGAAGCATTCGAAAAAATTAAAAATGCAATAATTTTTTTTTCCTTTTCCTCGAGAATTTTGTGTCACCCCTACACTGAGTCCATGTCACCCGGGGTTGAAAACCACTGCCATAAATGAACATCGAGAATTCGAACAATTTATGATCGGTACGCATACACCATTCAGTTCGTCGACGAAGACTGATGACGAAAAAGTAAGCTGGAATTTTAAATAATCAATACATTATATACTACGAAAACCTGCAAAAACATATTTATACGGTCGAAAGATAAATCGATTTTCCATGAAACGGGGAAATACCAAGCTTGTTTTTTTTCTATAAATTATAATAGTTTTTTTTTTTTTGTTAAAAAGTTTGATAATATAATACAATATTCCTCATGAATTGTCCTCACCTAGAATAAATAAAAAAGTTTAACATGATTGTATTATTTTTTTATGAGTGTATGAAGTTCAAATTTTGACGATTGTCGAAAATTTAGACTTAAAATAACGATTTATCCTCAAATATTTTTTATTTTATAGTCATTTTAAACAATTGAAAAAAATTAACCGTAGAAACTTGAATCATTTTACAATAAGTCAAATATCCATGTACACAATAATATGTTAAAAATATTAAGACTAATTTTAAACTATTATTATAGGCATCAAAATTAACAAATTTTTTAGGTTTTTTTTTTAATTTCTAATTTTTAATTTATATTTAAATTTGAAATGTTGGTTTTGACTTTTGGATAATTTTGAACGATTTTAAAATTGTTTTATGACCTATGAATTTATAAACTTCTAACATAGCGCAATCAACGATACGCCATAACGTCATTAGAATACAACCTCGTGAAATAAAAAATATATTGAGTATTACCACTTAAAAAACATAATAGGGAAAGACATAATAATATTATGATAATTCAGAACATCACTGTATGCGTTCAAAATCAATTAAAGTATAATAAACTGTGTAGTATAAAACTATAAACTACAAACACGCCATATTCAGTGACCGAACGGGTACCCATACGACCTACTCATCAATAGGTACCTCCTACCGCACAATTGCAACAGTTATATAAAAGATAATTCATACTTTTTCTAGTTTCGTTTTAATATACCTATTCTAAGGGGACGAAAACGGAATAATAATGATGCGACGATAACGAACTCGCACGTAGATAACATGACGTATAAGATGTATTCAATATAGGTACACCAATATACACATTTAGAGGTCCAGCCTACTGCGGCTATACTACCTATATTATACCTATATTATTACAAAGTCAATTTTACCGGCAATACTTCACATCCCATAATCACTACAATTACTAACGCAATACCTACGTCTCGTAATGATTTTTATTGATCGTATTGGGTTTCTCAAGCCTGCCTATTACAAGTGGGTAACCTATACCACCTATATATAATGATTGGTTCTAAAACCGCACGAACTATCAACATTTTAGTTACGGTTTTCGTTTAAAGCTCATTCTCGCACCATACTATATACGCCCCATTAATACGTAATACCTACTATCAGTAGGCAGTATAGTTGGGACCTATATAGCCATTAGTTACTCGGGCTAACTTATTGAGCGTTTATAATTAAATACCGCGGCGGGTTTTGAACAATTAAACCTTCAGCGGCGTTTTTTCATAGGTATAGCTAGCCGTACGTATATATATATTTTATCATAATTCATATATTTCGCGGACGTAATGGATTTGAACGGTGCAGCACGATTACGTACTTTTACCTTTTTGTATTCGAAAAAAAACATGACATGATTGCGTTTCAACTGAAAAAGGTAAATTCACAATTTTCGACATTGTTTATTGGCAATGGGGCCATACTTTTTAGGTAAAAATTGTGAAAACTATAGAAACTTTTTACTTAATTTTTGTTATCTATTATTAGGTATATACTCGTAATATAATAGGTAATTTAATACACATGAATAAAAAAAGATCATTTAGAAAAATAACTAAAAAATTATTCAATTATTTTATGACATGAAATAATTTTTAAGAAACAAATTCATTGACTGTAACAGTAATAGGTACATACTTCGGTGCGATGGGTAGCCGGACATTTTACTCATAAAAGGAAAAAATAAATTTTATTATTATTTATAAGTTTTAACCCATACTGATCTATATTATACTTACGTATATTGGAATACGGATTTCGTATCGTTTAGATACCGAATATATTATTCTATTGGCATTAATTAATATTAACAAGACTAACCACATTTTCCGATGGTGCTGGATACTGCTTTATTAATAAATTGATCCTGACTTGCAAGAATTCCCAGCATTTTATCTCGAGAGCAGGATCGAGAGTACCATCTAGTAACGTCAAGTTCAGGCAATTTTTCTCTTCCATTTGTATCCAATCGTCCAATGTTTCTAATGAATACAAAATTACACATACGGCGTTATTAAATTGTAACACATGGCCTGCAGAAGTCGAGTGCAACAAAAACAGGGCGGACACGTATATATCACAGACATCCCATATCACCCAAACTATTTCTACGGAAAATCATTATGAAATTTAAATCACATTTTAAATGTTAATTTAAAAGAAAATTCAAATAAAATGGCATGAATTCCAAAAAAATAAAAATTTTGTTTATTTACCATTCAATTTCAAACAAATTTTCAAAACGATCATTTTTTGTTTTTACTATATTTATTGGATTTTAATTATTAATAATAATGAAATCGAATAAAAAGAATAAAAGGTCACACTTTTTCGTTTTTTTCGCAGAACTTAAAATAAAAAAATGTTCAACCACGCGATGTTTTCGATTTACCGGAACGTCGAATTGTTTTTCAATAAACTGGTATTTCAGTAAATCGAAAACATCGCCACTCCAGCGTACATACTTTGATCCATGTTGAAGATACGGACGAATGCAAGGAGCTTGCCGTCAATAGGAAACGAGCCGGGCGTGAGGTAGAAGTCGGCGAGGGCGGGAAGCGAGAGCGTCTGGAGCAAACGGTACCGGAGCGAGTAGAGCGGGTCGGACCGAGATACCCCCAATCGTATCTTCACGGCGTCGTGCTCGTTGTCCGGATACACGAATCCGTTGTGCACCAGGAAGTCGGCGTTGGTGCGCACCCCGTAGAATATGTACACTTGTTCGTCGGCCACGTAGTCGGCGTCGGCGTAGCACACGCACACGTTATTTGACTTGACGAAATCGGTCGACAGCTGAGCAAGTAAACGTCGCCAAAAAAAAAAAAAAAATCATATTTCGATATAATATTGTATCGTTAATCGAGGGACATTACCCCTCAGGTACGCTCAAACTGTTTTAAGAGGCGATCTCGTTCAAATTCTGATTTTTTTTATTTTTAACTATATATATTAATACAACGGTTCTTAATAACCTTTTGTAGATTACGGACTCCCGATCAAAGATTTTTAGAAATCGCGGACTCCCTCATCAATTTTTGTTCGAATACGTTTTTTTAAGACATCTCATGTTATCATAGCTAAAATTGTAATGATTATTTTATACTAAAAATTACATAAGTAAACATAACAAAACATAAACATTTATAATTATTTTTATCACACCTAATTTTTCATTAAAAACAAGTATTATAAATAAGATAAGATAGATCTATCTCTTATATAATATTAAAATAAAATATGTTATGTATGAAAAATATAAGAATCCAACAATATTTTAATGATGCATTCATGTCACGTATTGACGTATGTTATATGTTAAGGTTGCCGCGAATCCCCGAAATGAGTATCATGGACCCCCAAGAGGCCGTGAACCACAGGTTAAAAACCGCTGTACTAATAATATAAAGAGACGTATCATGTCTACGAGAACCGCACTTTAAAATTAAGCAGTTACACGTGTATGCGATGGACTACTTGGCGATACACACTTATTTTTCTAACATATTTTTTTTTTAAAGAACAGTTAAGCACAGATATGCTGACTTATTTTTGAAAATTTTGAGATAATATAGTTTTTTTATACTTGTTATTTTCCCCTTAAGTATAACCTGGATTTAAATTTATAAATGATTAGTGATTAGTGATTACTGTCTAGTGACTTTTAAACATTTTAATATATTAAACTATTTATAGGGTATTACCACTGGGTATCCTCCTTAATCCCACGAATCATTTGTTATCTGCTTTTTACTTGTCATTTATCTAACCTACTTATTGTACAAAAAATATGTATAGATTGTAGATTTATTAAATTAAAATAAAAAAATAAAAATAAATGTACATATATTAAACTTAAATACATATTGGTTTAAAATCTATGACTAAATATAATTAGATAAAAATAAATTTAACTATACATACATACTACATATTATTTAATATATTTATTATTATTTATTTATTTGAAAGTTTATACTTAGTTTATTATTATATATAGTTAAAAGAACAAAGTATTTATATTACATGAAATCGAAAAGCAGAATAATTCAAATACTAATGATACTATACTTGAATGTGAATTTCATTAAAATTAAAAAATAGCTTGTATCATCATAGGACAGTCTTCAATCCCATAAAACTGTATAAATTTTTGAAAATGTTTTTTTAAAGAACTCACTTAAAAATTCCAAAAATCAAAATATTAATAAAAGCATAATACAAGCATATGCAATGGGATTTTCATGCTTGAAAATTAATAGTTATCACTCTGTAATTATGTATTGCATAATTTAGACACTATGTATGAGATAAATAATTGTATAACCGAATGATATACGAGTAAATAAGAAAAAAAAATAAAGTCCCACCGCAATAGATATGCGTGTGTTATAAATTACAAGCTTATAAAATAATTATTATTATGACAGGCTGAAAGAGTTGTTACATTATTACACTCAGAAATAACCTCAAATGATGTGTGGTCACGCTATTGTACCATTACATAAAATAAAGAAAATTGCATCGAGAAAAATCTAAAATTTTACTATGATTTCGAACGGGGTATAGTTGGAATTCGCTCCCTATATCCCATAATAATAATTATTCCAAATACCAATGTGTATTTAGTACTTCTAAGGGGCGGCTTTCATTTGAGCGAATAACCCAAAATAACATATCGTTTGGGCGAATTTATATACATCATTTGGACGAAATTTACACAGACCCCTAATTTATCTAATACATCGTTTGGGTGAGCCGAGTTATTAAAAAAAAATAATTGTTATGTATAATATTATTCCTAAAAAAAATCATTTATAAAATTATAACTAATGTCTGATTGTCACAATATTATATTTAGTCATCATATTGATTAAAATTTATGGACTATATAATATACGTTTTCCTTCCCATTTATAGAGACTTAGGACTCTCAGTTAAAAACATAAAAACCTTTGATCATATCTAAGGCTCATATACTATGGATGAACTTTGTCTCCGTCTTATTACAATCTAACAAATTATTGTTCCCTATCTATATTTGTAAATTGGTTTTAACACTTTAAAATAGTTATCACCAGGGCTAGGATTTGTATGCAACAGCATTTTTTTTGCTACGTACAAATGAAATTTAAATGAGTAATGTCCACGATTTATATTATTGTGATGAAGATGGTATTATTTTTATTTAGCATGTTTTTGCATATAAAGCAATATAAAGCATATGTATGAGCTTAATGTATATTTTTGCATATTTAATATGATCGTATTTATTATATATGTTATATATAATATTATGTTACTTCCCTATAAATTCGCCTAAACGATCAGTTAATTTCTCGCCCAAATGATACAGCTCTACTCAGGTAAATTTTGGGTTATTCGCCCAAATTAATGACGTCCCTTCTAAGCGGAGTGTGTACGAGACAAACGTTATTACACAACAATCTGCATACTTTTTCCAGCGTTTTTTAAGAAGTGAGTACGTTAGTCTTAGAAATTCGTTGATCATTTTTAGTCTCCAGATTCTTAACGAAAACAGTAGCCGATACTCGATTTCTTTCAACCCAAAGGTTGAATTCAAAATGGCTAATTTATAAATTATAATGATCAATGAAAGCAAATTGATTTCGTCGCACATATGATAACCACGAGTAAAGCCGTAACGTATACACTACTTGATAACCATGAAAAAAACCATACACCATGTCGCAGAAAAAATAAATTGCATTGCAATAACAGCGCATTTTTACACATACAATATAATAAAAGTATATAGGTACAAACGCAAAAACAATAATATAAATTAGTTTGACTTCGAATTGAAATTTGTGGTTTGAAAAAAAAATCATTGTCTTATATGTCTTGTCATTATAGACCGTTCACCTGTATTCATATCATATTATTACGAGTCAAAATAGGTATTATTATATAACATATATCATATATTAATACGAGTATAAAAACAAATACACGTCCTCGGCCAAATTCTAAACGAAAAAATCGTGATGTATTTGGATGTAGTTGCATTTATTATAAGAGCATATTAAAGACTAACCTCAAACCAAAAATTTTTGTATTATTGACCCTACAGAGTATAGTCATTTGTGTAAAGGAAGGATAAACTTTAATATAATTTTATTTTAACCAAACCTACATACCCACGACCCCCGCCTGTCTTAATTTATAAATTAAATGTATTATAATATACCTACTTGTATTTAGAACCATTTATTAGCAGATTTACTATAAAACATATATCCATAATTATAGCTGCAGCACTTTTGCTCATACAAATACATAAGTTCTAATGATTTACTTACTCTTCCACTATGATGGTTGAACATGTCCCAAAGTGGTATGAGTGCACTAACATTTTCAGACGGATTATCTGAGCTGGGAACTGTATTTTGACGTGACATTAACGTCGAAACTGCCCACCTAAAACAATATGCATAAAATACAATTATAGACTAATTATTTTCATTTTCAAATTGACAAAATAAAAAAATAAACTTTAAGATACAGTAATATATTTAAATTTTAATATACACACACTAACGTACATATATATATATAATGTACGACGTGTATTATTTCTATTTAAATCGATATTTTCTTATAAAATTCATTATAAAAAAATATAACATATATACCGATTACCTAAGTGATAATTATCACGATTATCATAATGTATTTTTATTAAAATGTAAAATTTATTAATACAATTTTCTAATCACAATAAAAAATCCTTTGATTGGTGGGTATTTTTTATTATCTGCCACCCAAATTTCTAGAGCCCAAATATCGCGAAGTCATGTTTAAGGCTCAAAAACAAACCATCTAATTCTACTTACAAAAGTATCAGAGTTACAGGGAAAGGCCGGCGCACACTTATTATAATGAAAATAACTTCAATAATGAAATATAAATTTATCGTTTTGTCTCAGTAAAGGAACAAAAATCAAGGACAAAAATATGTCAATATAACATAAACACTGATCCAAAAATCAATTTTGTAATTTTTTTTTAACAAAAAATAAAGTGGGTTGTTTACATTACTCAAGTACGATCTCACGTCTGTCGAATCCTGCATCAATGGAAAGCATAGATGAAACAAAATTATAAATAGTAATTAACCAAGTAAGCTCACTTCTTTTATGTTTCAATAATGTATTTTTTAAATACAAATTTTTAAAAATACTAAAATTATTTTTCAAATAGATACTTGAATTTTTTAGTTTTTTACCGTTCTCTGTATTTTTTTATCAAATGTTGATGTGTGAAATCAAAATTCAAAAAATTCCTGTGTTATTAAACTTAATGTATCTACTAAAGAAAATATATAGTGATTTCACGTAAAATATAAACATAATATGACGTAAAATTTAGTATAGTACTTAATATACTTGGACAATTTTTACAAATAATAAAATGTTACATTAATTAATATTAATAGATATCCGTAATTTTCATTTTTCAAACGTAACTATCACGCCTTTTAAATTTATTATCATGAACTATTTATCCATTATCCATAATATGTAAATATTTTATAAACATTTTTGAAACAAAAATAATATTCCCAAAAATAATAACATTTTATTGACGGAAAATAAATTAACTTGATAACTATAAAACAAACAACAGAAGTGGAGAAACCTCCCTGGATCCGTGCTCGAATCATTAATACATAATACATACAACATTTAAAAAATATATTGCCATAAGTGTTAGGTCAAAATATTATAATCGTCGAACGACAAAGCTATATTTTTATTGATGTTGAACATTTTAATTAAAATGCATTTATTGTTTGAGAATTAAGACATGTGCGTTTACAATAAGCCCGTATAGAGTTAGTAAGTAGATTAATCTACTTCAAAATAACCATCTATGTCTTTTGTGTAATATCTACAGGCTACCGTATATTATAATACCTAGATAACTGTAAATTCGCCTAAATAATTTAAATTTAAATTATTCAAAGACTCTTTATCAGATGTATACAACATTGTACTCGCATTTATTATATTATTTCTGTGCGCATATAATATATACACACATATTATCAAATACTGGATAACTATTTTATTGTCTAAATAGTTTTTAAAATAAAAATTTCTGTAATTAAAAAACGAATTTCGAATGAAAATTTAATTCAATGTAATAATTTAAAGTGTTTAGCAATATTTAACAGGATACATCCACATTTCACTCAAATCCACTCAATTAAACTTTAAACATATAGGTAAATACTTATCGATAACTTACAATAAATTAACTAATTTTTGGAAATTGTATTTTCATACAGCCTTTAGAAAATAATTTTACTTTGAAATTGAAATTAAAAACGTATGCTTTGATAAGCTTAAAATATGTATAATGTTTATTATATCAAACCGGAAATACTCATAAATTATTTAATTAAACGAAAAAACTAGATCATTTTGAAAGGTAATTGAAATTGCATATGTTAAACGATTTATAAAAATAAAATCATTTATGCCCAGTTTACATGCATTGCACTAAGCACATCAATAATTTAAAAAAAATAATAGATTTATGACTTTGAGAAAATGTCTCTGTAATATAGAGTTATACATTATCTTTATTAGTCCCTATATATTTCATCCCTGGTTGCGCCAGTCGACTATTTGTAGTAAAATAACTGATGAACATAAATATAGTACGTATACAATAATTTAATACGGAAAATATATATATATACAACATCAAAAGTGTGTCTTGCGAATTAATTGACGATAAATAGTTCAAAGGGTCGAAACGTTCATACAAGTAGTGGTCATAACTATAATAAATAACGGCGTTCGGTGGCACGCGATCGAATATAAATATTACTGTAGACGGAAGGAGTGTGATCGAGTGGAAGTGGTACGGACGTTTATATACATCCTGTCATAGAAAAACAGAAATACAATTCTTCAGTGAAAGGTTATTTACTTGTGTCTCGTGTTCGGTGTTTGTTCGCGCCGGAAACTATCATAGGCATGTGCCAGTGCGCGTTTTACGTTTAATGGTTCACGGTGTTAGTAGTACTACTACTAGTGTGCACGATACATCATAAGTGTGATAATTTTATAATTAACGGGTAGTTGTTTTCGTTAACGCCGGCATAATAATATTCTATTTAAGTGAGTACACGAACACCACCGCAGCGAACGACATCAATGTTATGGAGGATACACCAGAACGCTCATCGAGAAAATACTAATGAAAGAAAAACAAAAGGTGCAATAATTACAGGTTCGTCGATTAAAATATTAAAATAACTTATTAGCTACACGATATAAGTACCTAATGAATAAAAATATTTAAAATATTGATAGTATTTTTTTTTTTTTTTCATGACATTAATGTATTAGAATTATTATACACACGGTAAAAATGTTTGAAATTACGAGTACCTATATGCACTTAAATACAGGTACACTATTTATACAATGTAGTAAAATCTTAACAGCATAAAAGGGATGAAATAGGTATAATGTATAATATATTTATTTTTTAACTATAAAATAATTATATACCTATAAATGAAGAGAGATTAATTTTATAATACATTTTACTTTTATACACTCTATAAATAATGTGCTGATTTAAAAATTTGAAGTAAATAAGTTAGGTTCCTCGAAAAAACGACCACTGTATTTTCGTATCATTAAAATTACAAGTTCAATGCTTAACAAATAGATATTATTATATAATCTAATAAAAAAAGAAAAATAATTCTAATAATTAGTCGAACATTAACAACAATAACGAAAGACAATTTTAGTTAAAAAAAAAGTATTATCATATTCTCTTATAATTGTTTTACAGTTTAATTAGTTATGTATGTATTGATATTATATATTTTTCCTTACATTATCATTTAACCTTATAACGTGTATAATCTATTATTGCACTTCTAGTATATGGACTATACTTGCAGATTTTTATACATTTTTGAAAGAAAATATTTTAAAATACAAAATATTTTTTTGGTTATGTATGATAATAACTTAAATAGAATTATATTAAATTGCATCATTTTCAAACAAAAGATAATTGTTTTATTTTTCTTTATAAACTTGAAAATACGTTATTAATAATAAGTATAACATTTTGTAGTTATACTTTTGTTTATAACATGATTTCTAAAATAAAATATATAGAGATATTGCAGTTAAATAATAATAATAAAAAAAAACGAACCGATAATTTTTTTTAATTTAATGAAATTGTTCATCTTTAAGCTTGATTCTGAAATGAATAGTTGGAAAAATGAGGAAGTATACATTTTACGACGGTCGCGGATGATGGAACAAACTATTAACAGCTCTAAAAGAGTTCCGCGTTATGCGATTAATCAAAACATAATAAATAATGAACACCTTATTTTAAAGACGATTTTGGTAGCATTTAAATTTTATAACCAATTAAATTTATTGAACGATTTACTTTCTAAGCATTTAAAAAACGTCATCGCATAGATTCGAATGAAAATTGTTTTTATTGCCCATTAAATATCAAAATATTAATAGTACTATTTTATATTACACAATTAATCACATATTAGATTTTAAATTATTATTTTTATCATATTTTTACTGAATTTTTAGTATTTTAACTATTAAAATTTAAAAGTAATTATCTATATTACCTCACTTCACCTAGTTTAAAATAAATCTATCTTTCTATCATTTTCCGATTTGCTTCATTTGGAATTTGTAATACAAACACTATTACAGTGATTAATTTTATGATTTTATTTCCATGTATTAATTCAGAACATATTTTTGATGTAAACATAAAAAAAATTAAAACAGTATCAACTAATGCTTGAAAGCCGCCGTAAATTTAATATTATTTTAAAGATTGGCATTAGTCTTTATGTATTTATAAAAAATATAATATGTCTAGAATAAAGAAAACAAATCATGATCAAATATCACGATTGTTATTATTATAATTGCGTTCATAAGTATTTAACTTTAAGATTTGTTTTTTTTAAATATGTTTATAAAAAAAATTATGTGACATATTTTTACAAATTATAATAGTAATCTAATCTGTAACCAAAACAACCATTGAAATCAACTAAAAACATTCGATTTTCATAAGCCAAAACTGAATTCAAGTGTTAACTACCTTATAGTAATTTACAGGAGTTAAAAAAAAAAAATAAGCCCAAAACTACTTCTAAATCTTAAAAATTTTATTAATATAACTTTTATTAAAAATTGTATTTTAGTTTTTAAGTATATAGAGGATAAAAAAACTAAAGAAACATTCATTTTTATACCCATAACACATATGTCATATACATTATATAGGTACTTAGCACATAAGTTTTGCATTCCAAAATAAGTTTCTTCGTTTTTGTAATCATATCAAATAGATAATTTTCTATATAAGTAACTTAAAATGTATAAATA